ATGATGTGCTTTTCATGAGTACCCAAGCTTAAACTTTTTCTTTTTTCGTTATTTTTTGTTTGTTTGTTTACACCTTGTCGTTTTCCATTCTATTTCTGCTAATTTTGTCATGTTATCTTACTATTTTCACGTTTTTTATCCTTATTTCGTTGCCCAGTTACTCTACACCATCGCTTCTATGAATTATCATTATATGTTTAGTATCTCTTCGATTTGCGTTCAATGACCACTTTATATTGTGAGCCGAAACTACGCGATTTTGGCTTAGCGGATCCCGGATGGCGTGGTTTCGGTGGATTTATATCAGATTTGAAAACGGGAGAGATTCCTCAGTACAATTTGGAGGCGTTTTGGAAGCGGCCCATTGCTCCCATCGTTACTGGGTTTGCCGAGCCTGCCTTGCGAGTTGGACATGTTGAGGTTAGGAGAAGTCTCAAGTTGTATCTGATAGTCCTGGCAGTAGTCAGGCTTTGTAGAGCTGGAATTCGCTATTTGTTATTGTCTCAGTCTTATGACCTTTTCGTCACTTTGTTTGCTAATTAGAAAAAGCGACATCTGAAAGCTCTTGATTGCATTGCTACTCTGCTATAAGACGAAAATTTGTTTTAGACGGCTCCACGACGACCTCCCGGTAATGTTCGAGCAGACTTGGATGCGAGGGCTTTTATCAATATCAACTTGCTGGCAGCAAGACGCAGCAACGACCAAGAGTTGACATTTTCAACTGTATCAGCAGATGCCGGTCGTCAGTCGATCAACGAATATAGTTCGGAGGTATTTTGTCATACAATTAATAATTTGTTTGGCGCGTTGCATGTGTGCTTTTCAGATCCAAGATGGGGTATTGTTGACTGAAGGAGCGTCGCAACATAAATTCGCATCTGACAATCCACCACTGGAGTTGCGCTATAGTGACATCATTGACGATCGGCTGTGGGTGCGATGTAAGAGCCATTTGAATCTGTTTGACCCAAGCAGGGCACAGAAGCAATGTGTCTTTAGAGTGAGTTTGGTCTCAT